CATTCACACCTTTCCGAGCACTAGAGGTGCTTTCTCAAGCGTAGCTGTTTTAAACTGGAATTCAACCCAGGAACAAATAGCAACATTACATAATGAAGTGCAGGTCTGTGAACAACATGGAGTCACTAACGTGGCACAAACAGGGGTGGAAGGGCTGCACTGGCCACCCTGTTCCTGCCACAGCCCCCTCTGCCTGTAGAAAACACAGAATGGATTTTATTTCCCCCCCATTAAAAAAACCCCACGAGTCAAGAGGAAACCCAGACCCCTGCCTGCCCAGGCTGCAGTTTGAAGAGCAGTGCCTGAGGCTGGAACAGGAGGGGCCGTGGAGCTGGGGTGCTGTGCTGGCCGTGCCAGGCCCGGAGCAGCAGCACCTCCTCCTTCCCGGGTGTGCCCGGGGGCAGTGCCTGCTGCCTGGTCACCCTGGAGCACCAAGAGCCACTGAGCACCCACCCACTTCATAACTCACGTGGTTTTGGAGCCCAGATCAGCACAAGAGTTGATGGTTATTTATTTACTTTTTCTTCTCATGATGGTGCATCAGCAGCCTGATTATTCAACTTACTGGCTTGCAAGTGAAGGTGCTCACCTGATCAGTTAAAGAACACACCCATACCCTTGTTAGTGGCAACATTTCCTTCCCCTCACCTCTGCTTCAGCTGGACAATGGTGCAGAGCTCTGGCCTCTGCTGCTGGGGGGGGCAAAGGAAGGACACCCATACTAACCCTGCTCATCCCACCTATGACATTGGAATGGGGTTTTTTATTTTTTAAATTATTTATTGTTGCAGTATTAAATTAGAAATTAATAGTAGCCCTTGGGGCTCTCTTTTGGATGTAGTCCTTACCAATGAATTTCAAGCATTTTGCTTCAAGGGGCAGTTTCTGGGCAAGAGAATTGTGTACTTAAAATTCAGCAGTTCATAACATTTTCCTCCCTGCTCAAGCTCTGCCCTGGAGAAAGAGGGGCTGCAAGCAAAGGGAAGAGCAGCAAGTCAGCCACTTACCTTGCTTACCTTTGTCTCCTCTTGGATTGGAAGAAGAAAACAGATGGTGATTTTGGTTCACTTCTAGTTTACAGGTTCCAAGATGAGCTCAGCCCATAAAGGCATCATGCTTTCCCTGCAGCCATCAATGACAGCAGTGTGCCCAGAATTCTTACACAATCATTTAGTAAAATTAGATGTTCTCGTCATGTCTTTTCCATACACAAGGCATCCCAAAGTCGTAACACGAATTGTTTGCCTCATTGCTTCCACTTTGCACTTCACCCCCAGCCTGGGCACTGGTGCTCTCGGCGCCACGGGCACCCGGCTGTGTGGGGAGGGACAGGGACACGCGTGTCACACCCACCCCGAGACAGACCCTGCACCGCACGGGGGACATCGGAGACAGGAGCTTTTGCTCATTTTTTTTTTTTTTTTAATGTATCACAATGAGCAGGAAACATACGTGATGAAATATTTCCAAAGGAGTATATTCAATTACCATCTACAGTCAACTCAACTATGACAACAAAGTCTTTTGTGACAAATCTTTCAAAGTTTTGAAAGTTCCATGTGGTTTCTGTTTCTGTTAGTCTCCATGTATTTTGGTACAGTTAGAGATCAGCATTGTTACAGTAACAAAAAAAAGCTAACAAGACTACATTATAGAAAAACACCAAGAACATCATTTTTGGTTTCACTTGCTCTATTTTTTTGTACATTGCAAAGGCTGTTCATATCCCTCATTTATGCTTTCTGTTCTACCCAAACTCGCCCCCCAAAATAAAAACAAAAAAAATAGGCAAAGCTTTGTGTTTCACAGTGGGCAGTATCAGCGCCAACAAACCAACCAACCGACTGACCAACCAACCAACCAACCAACCAACCCAATTTCTGCTTCTATTTAAAAGTTTAAATTTTTTTATTCTTTTTTAAAGCAAAATATATTTCCACGAACAGCGCGTGTGCTGCGTGTGTCAGTGCCTCCCTCACCTCCCCCACTGGCCTGGGCAGCCACAACACACACCTGATGCCTCTCTTTATTCTCAATTGTATGAAACTTTGGCCATCTTCACCACTTAAAAAAGCTTTTTATTAAAAATAAAACAGAAACCTGCTCAATGCTAAGTTTAAAATCTTTTCCTTGTGCCCAGCCCTGCTCTGACCCACACTAGAAAGGCCACGTGTGGGCTCGGGGCACGAGCTGGGGGTCCCTGGGGGTCCCAGTGCCAGCCCCGGGGCAGCCGGGCTGCAAGGGGAGGACACAACCTCGCACTGAAAGTCTCTAGAAACATTTAGAAAAAATACAAGGAAATGAATTTATAAAACCTTTTAGTGGGTGGGAAGGAAGAGGGGGAAGAAGGAGAGAGAAATTGCACTATGACCAAGCAATATAATTAAAAAACTGAAACAAAATGACAAAAACCAAAAGGATTTCCAAAAGAGACCTTGCAGAATCTGACAGATAAAGCTAGTGTTAAATTGTTAACTTGTATCACATAGAGAATCAAACCAAAACAAACAAAAAAACCCCTTCTATATGATACAGACATAGTAACATACAACAGTTAAATGGCAAAAAATATATATATATATTTCATAGAATTACAAACAAGATAAAATAATGGAAAACAAAAACTGTACAACTTTAGAATTTAAAAAATGTTCATCTCAAACACGGGGAGAAATACAAGAACTTTTGTTAAAAGAAAACAGTTTGTTAAAACAGCAACTGCTTTTTGTATACTTGTTTCCATTTTTGAGACCTTATGCTACAGCTGGGTACTGGTAGGAATATTAGGTGGTACTCTCTTTAGTATTGTCTACTTAAAAAGCAATTAAAAAAAGGAATTTGCACTGTGCATTAGCCTAGTTAGAAATATGTACAACAGTTCAGGACCTAGTCTTTCATCGAACTAAAACCAAAAATCCATAAAAACAGAAGCGTCCCGCTAGAAAATGAACCCCACGTTCGTCTCTCGGATGCTCCAGTCTCTGACGGAGTCGACGAGCGGCTTCAGCACGGGGAGGAGAAGCCCGGAGGCGGCAGGAGGAACCTGCCTTCACAGTCTTCGAAGTTCCCTTTTGAAGCAGGAGGATGAAGATGTCGGGGAGAAGGCTCTCGCACTTTCAGGGCAGAGGAAACGGGGAGAAAGGAGATTGTTTCTGTTGACATTTGGCTACGGAAGTGAAACAGCAAGCATCTATTTGTCTCCAAATCTACATTTTAGCAGCACAAAGTTTTCCTTTCAAAGTCCGGGCCGTGGGATGGGTGGGGGTGCCTGGGTGCTCCCAGGAGTGGGGTGCGGAGCAGGCCGGGATCCCGCCAGCACCGGGCACTGCCGCCCCGGGTGCACCGCTCCGGCTGCCGGCACGGGAGAATTTGGAAAGAGAAACCTGCCTTTTGGTGCGCTGGGTTTTCACTAAGAGTTGTCTCTCTGCTTGCAGAAGAAGCACAGATAACAACCTGGGTACTTTTTTTTATTCTTTATTTAAACTTAGACTTGTTTGTTTAAACCAGAAACAAATTCTCAAGTAAAAAGAATCCTTTTTGCTCATTCTGCACCAGTGGTGAAAGGGTATGTCTTTGGATTTTATTTAAAGCATGAATTTTCTTTAGAGAAAAAAAAAAAGTAACAAAACCTTTTTTTTAAAAGAAGGAACAGAGTGCAGCCTAATTACACAAACAGAAACAAATGCTTATAGTTTAGGAACAGAGTCTTTGAAGCATTTACAAAATGAGGAAAAGAAGTGGGGAAGAAAAAAAAAAAAGAATGGAAAAATGGAAAATAAGAGAGAGATAAGTGCACAAGGGTAACAGACATAGGTAAATCGTATGTATACGCCTTAAAAAGTTTCAAACCCCCAACAAAAAATATTCTGCAAGGGATCCTACTGACCCCTCAAAACCCTTTGAACTTCTTTCTTTAGTTTTTATAAAATAATTATGCAACCACCCTCTAAGAAATGAAGGTAGCGACCATAAGTGGAAGATTACAGGATGGGGGAATGGGGAGTAAAGGTACAAAGGGGAGAAAAGCTTAGGCGAGTCAATGGATTGCAATCTATCTGGCTAGGAATGAACAAGACAACATCAAATGAGAAGCCGTCAGCTGGACCATACAAAAGCTAAATGTACACAAAAGGGTTTTTTCTTTTAAATCTACCATACTGCTTCAGTTCATTTCCAATGCAACAATCTACTCAACACCAAAAATGGTCATATCTATCATAAATACAGAAAGTCAGTTGTTTTAAAACTTATTTTTTTAAGCTCCGAGTCCTCAACACTCTTTGTGTGGGTTTTTTTTTATTTTTCTGAAAAGTGGGAGTGCTTAACTTTTCCCCTTGAAATTGGCTTCAGCAGAAAAGCTACCCTTAAAATCCCCGAAAAGCTAAAGCAGTTCACATTGTTTTTTTCTCTTGAATACTTTCTGCCCATTTTAAATTAACAAAAAAAAAAAAAATCCTTTTCTGAAACGAAAACGAAACAAAACAAAAAACCCCAAAACAAACGAAAGAAATTATATATATATATATAAAACAATGATTCTGAAAACAGAACAAAGTGTGAGCGATTGACCTGAGAATAAAAAGACATTACATTTCTTTTTTCTTTTAGCAAGCCATTGGTATCTGAATGCTAAGATAGCAAGAAATTTAAAACTGTAACAAGGTGGGCTGCTTTCCCATACAGTGCATGCCGGCCTCTGCTGTGCTATCGACGTGGGGCGTATTGAAAAGGGGCAATATACAAGGGGCTCAAGCTCCGAAGACAGTAAGGAGGCAGCACGGGCTCTCATCTCCCAGACCAACAGTACCTTCAAAAGGACAAATGTAACAGATTTTTTTTTTTTCTTTTTTAAGTTTTATTTTATTAAAAGGAAAGGAAAAAAGAAATGTAAAACCCACCGGCATCGTTATATGGGAAAACAACCCACGCTTTTCCTTTTTTCTTTTTTCTTTTTTTGGTTAGAAGCTTTGGAATTGCAGTTAGTCTATTTTTGAAATTGGTTTGTTATTAACTTTTTTATTTAAATTCATTTTCATTGTTCATCTTCAAAGCTTACAATCTGAAGGTGTCCATTCCTACGCTAGCTAGACCACTGTCCTTAGGGCAGCCGGGGTCCCGGGGCCCCTCCGCCGGGCTCGCCGGTCCATCTGACTTTTGGCTAAGATCCGTGTCAGACTCCTCCGAATAGTCGTCTGTTGGCATCGAGGGCTGAACCCCTGAGGTGCTGCATGAACTTGAGGTAACCGTTGAAGATGAGGAGAGAGGAGGGAAAGGCGGCGGCGGCGGCTTCCCCGGTGGGGCGCGGGGGGCTGCCGGGGGCCAGGGCTTTCTGGAGGCGTGGGGGGA